TTTTGTATTGTTTTCAAAGATAAATAATAAATTGATTTTAGATCAATCAATGTAAATCTATTCTGCTAAATGAATTTATCGTTATCTTTTATTACACAATAAAGTCCTGCACAAGTATAATTTGTTGTATTCCGAACACCGAACTGGATTAGGTCTGGACACAACCAACATTTTCGAGACTTTTTCTTCTTAGCTATATATATTTGATTATCCGAAAAATTCGGGCAACTTAGATTCTCTGAAGTCATACGATAACAAATGCTGCATTTATTCAATTTAATATCCTTCACTAGGAACCATACATTGCCAACAATGATGCAAAGTTGATTGAAATCAAAGCAACCATGGCTGATGAGATAGTTATCTTGTGTCTTCTTGATCAATACAGCTGAATTCTTCCTATTTTGACTGTAAAAAATATAGGACACTGAAATTATCAGTTACCTACATGACTTACTTACTTACCCTAATTTTATTATAAATTACTCAATTATAGTCAAGTCGATTTTTAACTCATGTGTCCTCTGTGATAAATAACAATCCTGTAAAGCAATATATTTGTGCAAGTTCCGATAGTCAGTGTATCTTTTTCTACACACATGTAGATTTAACTAAATTATTCAAAGAAAATAGAAAGATTCTCCACATAATTCATCATTTTTAGATTTACATTGTCTGATAAAATGAGAAAAATAAATGAAACACTTTGATGATAAATAAAAATAATGTTATTTTATCTATCTCAGTGAAGATCGATAGAATTCTATTTTAACTTTATTGTTGTTTATAACGTATCTACTTGTTTGCAATAATGGGTAGATCATAAGAACACCATTTAATTGTCAATGCATCAGAGGCAACAATATATCTACATTATAATCTATCAATGTTTATCTGTACGCATGGTTCTTTTTCAGATACAATTTCAAATCAAATCTTATGTGATAGATTTGGATTTCTTTAATGTTTTTTTTTTAATAAACTGTGAAAAATTGTCTTTGAAAATCGTTTGATTTTTCTTTCCACGATGAACAATATTCTCTTCTTTAACGTTTGTAAAAATGATCAATTGAGTTTATTTGATTAAAAAAAAAGAAAATAATTCGATAAAAAAGTCTTAGTTTTGCAAATAAATTGTTTCGAAAAGAATTTCTTAGCAAATGTTTCATCATCAATGGTCTTCAGATAATAAACATTTTCTTCATTTGCTGAGGATGGCAACCCCCTTCATATATAGACAATCATTTCGAAATGTATTCATCAATAGATTTTTTCGATATTTCTACTTATCTATATAGTAATGTCTTGCATTTGAATCTGTGTTCGTAGTCTATCTTTGCATATATTTACTCTTTCATCTCTCTATACAAGTTTTTTTACGTCTTATTAAATGATGTGAAATTAATATTTAACATTTCTAGTCCTCTGCCAGAATCTCTTCACTTCTAATAGTTCGTATTTATTATGAATGAAGTTTCCTCAATTCATGTACGATACAATGATGTAAATTTGAAGTTGAATATCGATTTATATCATGCTTCAATATAACGTTGAAAAGACCAGCAAAGAATAAAGAAATTAAATTCGAAAGTTTTCAAAAGACAACTTCTCGATTCTCTATATTCAAGGTTTATTTTCTTCACGGTTCTGATTTGAAGAAAGAATTGCTAACTCTTATAGATTTACTATACGTTTAAAAGCATTCTCGTTGTCGAATAGAGATTAGGTTGATAGTCAGGATTTCTCTTCCAGCCTTATATTTATTCTAGCATCGAAATGAACATCGTGCATTTTCTTAAACCTTTTCTCAAAAAAATGTACTATCACTAAAATTTATGAAACTATCTCAGATTCGCATATGATGCCTTATATTACTTTCCGCACCAAATCAGTTTCGGGAAAAACAAATTGCCTTTCCGAACTACATACATTTCCGGAAACCCAAAGTGAATTTCCCAAAAAAACACACTTTTGCTTTCCCATAAACCAAAAACTCTCTCCAAGAAAAACAAACTTCCGAAGACACAAAGATCAAACCACCAAACCGCAGAATGAGGTTTCGCAAAACATTGTCGACTGTTGATGTGGGTACCGATGTGGGTGCGCCAAGATGTGGGCGGCTCAAAACGACTCACACGTGTCTGCCAAGCTGTGCATTCCACAAAACGACACACATGCCTTCCTCCAACCGTGAATGCTACGAGAGAACGAGTCGCACAAGGACAGGTCACGAAACCACAGGCCACGAAATGACTGACCGCGAAAGAGCGGGCCACGGACGGACTGGCCGCAAAAGCACTGGCTACAAAAGTAGTCACAACAATACGGCACATAACAGATCGCATCTGCTGCGGGTGCCGCGAAAGGACTGGCCGGGAAAGGAGTGGTCGCTAAATGACTGGCCGCGAAAGAGCGGGCCGCGAACGGACTGGCAGAAAAAGGACTGACTGCGAAAGGAATCACAACAATACGACACAGATCACATCGCATCTGCTACGGGTGCCGTGAAAGGAGTGATCACGAAAGGGCTTGCCGCAAAAGGAGTGGCCGCGAAAGGACTGGCCCACAGTGAGCAATTTTTCACATGCACGCGGACATTTTGTTTTAAAACACTCCAATATATTCAAAAATACTTTTCTAATAGGTTTTCGCATGTGCTCTTTTCAATAGAGTGGTTTGCAGAACTCAGAAGTACTTTTAAATTGGTTTTCCAGAGATCCAAATGGTCTTTTATATATCTAGTTCCGATTTGTCCATCATTTCTTATAGGTTTTTGAGTACGCTGATTTTGAATCTGGTAATAGCAAAGTTTTACGGAACCTTCAAGAAGGTTTTCTTGGAATCCAGGTGTTTGGAAACTACTTTTAATAGAACACTTAAATTGAACCGTTTTCTATGTTTTAGCAAATCTTAACAAGAGCTCAGACTGGAAAAGCACGTTGTCGTATAGTATATAGTGCCCACCACCACCCCTTGACTCTTTTTTTATGGAACTGGTCAAGTCATTAGACTTCTTTTACAAATTGTAGACCGGTACTTCAAGGTCGTTTTTCGTGGATTTGCTATATATACGAAAAAAGAATAAAAATTGATGCTAAAACTAAAATTAATGAAAAACAACTTATAAAAAAAAATTCAAAATAATTAACTATCTGCAAGCATACTATAAAAAAGGCTATCATCTTCATTGTTACATGCCAAGACTGTTTTGTCTTTTCTTTTTCTTTTTGCCCAAGCATATTGCGTGGACTCCATTGGTAGCATCTAGCTTTGTCCCAAGAGATTGTGATCACAAAATCCAAAGATCCAAGATCTTACCATTGTTCCTGACTGTATCCCAACCGAGCATTATTAACCTAGTTAATGATCTTTGCAGATTCATAGTTTCACGTCATTGCGGAGGAAACAGTGAAAAATGGGATTTTCACGTATGACTGGATTTTGTTGAAAAGTGATCTCGTCTTGAAGTCATTGAAAGGCACATCATTCAATGCAGTTTCTCGTGCTGATTCCGAATATGTGATTCGTTTTGTCTGAAAGTACTTCTAACCCCAAGAAAATAAAGAATACTCTGGAAAACCGGAGGTTTTTGTAAAATCTCTAACCCAGTCCAAGAGCATTTACGGATCTTTACGCTAAGTGAGTAGATGTGCCAGACAGATTTAAACATTATGTGAAAATTTCACGTGTTTTGAAGCTGTGCTAAAGTGTGCGCACTCACTACACTGAACACGTCTTTTTTGGAAAACCCTCGGTTGAGAAACAATGCATGGTTTTTCTAACAGAGAGACTGTTAGAGCAAAGTCTTTGTTATAGAACCATAGAGCAAGAGCTCTACTTTCAGAATCTGCATGATTTATTCTTTAAATCATTCTACTTTCTTTGAAACAAAACGCTTTTCTCAAAATTGACAGAAATCAGGCCATTGTTTTGGATCTAAGGTTTTTTCAATGTTCTAAAGAGTTAAAATAACAAAAAAAAGGTTATCAAAAAATCGGCAATTGGTTAAAGTATACTGGGCATTATTCAAATCGCGAAAAATATCACTTTCATTTTTTCACCAAATGTCCACGTTGTTGCCCATTGTGCGTCCTCGATAACCATAGGATCGGCCCGAACATGACCAGTACTTGTCCTGAGAATATGGGGGAAAAGGTCTCCTAACATCTGATTGGTCCATTTTAATCGACCAATCAAATCGTGTGATTCTATTTCTCACTATATATAGGTCGGAGCCCTACCCGAGATGTCCATCGCGGCGCTACAATCAACGTAATTGAACAGCGGCCGCGGTTCGATTGCGTTGATTATAGCGCCGCGATGGACATCTCTGAGCCCTACTCATATACCCCTCATTCGAAAGAGCGTCCTCGATAACCATAGGATCGGCCCGAACATGACTAGGCGTTGTCCTTATAATAAGCAAGAAAAGTCCTGCCGAATTATGATTGGTCCATAACAGTATACGATTGGGCATCGTATACGACACGGTGATATACGGCCGTAATACAGTACATGGAAATACGGCGTATATACGGCCGTATTTTCGCCGTATACGGTCGTGTCTGGTCGTCGTAATGCTCGACCTGGGCACACACCCCACACACCCACACCGACACCCACACACCCACACCCACATCCACACCCACCCACACTCACTCCCACACCCACCCAAAAAACAGTTTTTTCATGGATTTTTAATCGAAACAGCATGAAAACATACAGTATAATACTTGGTAAAAACAGCTGACCGAGACTAGTCTGAAAAAGTTTTAGCCCCGGTCCCAGACCACTTTGCAGATCCCTACTTGCAATACACATAAAGCAAAGAGAAATATCTCTAATGAGTATCAAGATGAAGTGACACAGCGCAAATATTTATTTTGCCTACATGCGTCGTTCTTTATCTTTGTATAACTTTCATTCTCTTATATACAATAAATATTCTTCTACTACCACACATTTTTTCACTGTCGTCGACATAGAATTTCTGGTTTACCATGATGTATCATACCGTTCGTATTCGTGATCTTCAACCACAACCATCCGTGGCTGGTGCTGAGCGAACAAGCACTCGTTCTAAACGAAAAACTTCAACTATGTCCGAGCAGTTTTGGAAAAAATCAATCAAGAAATCGTCTGACTTTAACGGTTATAACTATAGTGACGATGATGGCGATTATATGAACTACTTAGATTGTGAGAAATATCGTCAAATTTACTTTGAAGCAAATGGCCCTCATACACACCTTGTCGAGGGAGGACATGCTTTATTCGAAGCTTATTTTGCTGCTTATAATGCACATGAAGATATTGTACTGTCGCCTGATGATATTTGGCTCATGATTACCATCTATTATTCTCGTTATGTTGATGATAATGCAGAACAGATGCGACATTTGTTTGTCGATCATGAAGGCCAGAAGGAACTTGTTGTTGAAATTATGCGCATGGAACCCGAGTGAGTGAAATACATTTCTTCATTTATTTGTAGCTTCAGAAACTTAAGAAAACCGACAGAGATCGTTGTTAATTTATTTTAACAATTCAATTTATTTTCTCTTTGTTTTATAGTTGGCCACAATTCTTGATTGAAATGCGAAGTAAAATCGGCGAACATGTCAAAAACAATATTGTCGATCTTCTTACATCAAATTTCTCAACAACGGGTCCTGTCGAATGTTTCCTTTCGTCGACATGTATCATGCGCACATTCAATAAATATTTTCGTTATACGCAGAGGGTATGTGGATGTGGTATTCGAAATGTGCATTTTATGGGCACATTGGATGATTGGAAATTGTTGAGAAAGAAGGCAGAAGAATTAAAGCAGTTCACTTTGCCTTTACAATCACGATATTCTTCTGATAGAGATTTTGGTATTTATCTCGATGGAGTCTTACCTATATTGGATCAATTTATTCGCACCTATAAAGGTGATGTTGATAATGACTTCTGGGATACAATATTCGATTATACGAAAGTTGGTGTGTATGGCCCTTCAGGGTAAGTTAAAAATGAATTGCAACTTCTGTCCCTACTGTTCTCTACCCACTTTTAGCATGAATCGCAGAAAAGTGGACGGTTTACGTGGTTGGTTTCTTCGCCTTTGTTATGGTTATCATCTGCCATCCAATTCAGATGGTGCAGTTTTGAATAAAATTAAACTAGATGCTGTTTCTGTGCCCGTAAAGTTGGTTGAGTTGCCCAAAGGTGGTAAAGAATCATCGTGTCATGTTGTCGGTGGCTTTCATGGAATCCATTCATCAGAAGATGGTAAACATCGGCCAATCATGAGTTTTTCCGTCTTCCAAGAAAAAGATGGAAAATGAATACTACAATCTTGAAAGGAACATGGAAATTCAATTTTACTCCTGATCACTATTTACTATTTAATAAATTTTGTGCATCGCTGCATGTCATTTTTATATCAATGATACTTTCATAAATAAAAAATCATCCTATTTATGTTATTTTTTTATTGAATATAATTATTTAGTTATTCGCAGGATTCTTCGATAGGGCGTTTATCAAATCCTTCCTGTTATAGATACAGGGTAATCCAAAAACCTTGATCGTTCTTACAAAACATAGCTCATTCTCCTTTATTACAAACATAAATAGAGCAGATTTTTTTTCCATGTCCCAAAAAACTTTTGAAAAAATATTTATAAGAAACATTTCGAATAATTAATTTTCATTATTAATACATGTATTAAAGCACACAGACGAGAGTTTTCATGAATGTATAAAGGTGTCCTCCTTAGAAAACTCAATTTTTTGAAAAAATATCCAAGTTGAGTTTTTATTATAGGAAAGCGCACTGAAGTCTCCTCTTTCAGAATATATATGACTATTCGCAAAATAAGTAGATTTTCACAGACTTATCGAAGTAAACTTCGCACCTACTACCATGGTTTTCGAGAAATTTTCGTGATTTTTGAAGAATTTCAGTCTTGGAAAAACTGCATTGTTGCTTGTACCAGCATTGAATAGAACATGCTATATTAATCACTAGGCATGATAGATGGCGTTAGGTTACTTTATTTGGTATGTGCTTTGAAAAATTCTATTGAAATGTGCGCCATTTTTATGATTTTTTTGCATTTAAACGAAAAATTCATTTCTAAAACTTCTTTAGCGCTTTTCTCAAAATATGGTTTCCAGACAGAAAAATTGAAACACCTCCCTCCCGGTTCAGGCTATATTCAACATCTTTTTTGTTTTAAAGGTCTGAATCAGGGCTAACTTTTCTCCGAACGGATTTTTGATACGTGGTTCCTGGGCTGAGAAAAGTGGAATTTATCGTCGTTGGATGACTATTTTTTCGGTTAATTTGCAGACCCTATCACCAAAATACTCATAAAGAATAAGTGGGATTGAATTTCAAAATTTCGTTTCGACAACAGTTGCGCACTGACATTGGCTTTAATTTAAAACCAGTCCGAGCTCGGTACCAAGTACCACGACGGAGTTATATCGATTGCAAAGATGGGTCATAAATCAGCTGGAACTCCGGTTTAAGAAGGTTTATACGGCTGAAATTTTTACCAGAAGCATAGCTCACCAGGACTGGTCATCCCTGAAAATTTCAGCCCAAATGGACCACGTAAAGTGGGAAATCATTTGTGAGGCGGCACCTTCATTCGTTAAATTTATTTATTTTATCGAAGAACAGAGTGATCTGTATCCCGAACAAATACAAGATCAATCTGCTAGTTCCAACTCTTGCTTTTCACCAATCGATTGAGCCGAAATAAAATTAAAATAATAAAAAATAGTTTATATTAATATGAATTAAAACGAAGAAATGCAGAGTTTGTTTTGTCGACGCGTTTCGTATCTATTTATTTATTTGAAAATAAGGACACTCTTCAGGACACTCTGCACAAAAAGAACTACAATTTTAGGAAAAATTAAAAATTAAAAATTACAGAAAAAAATAAAGAGAATAAAGCAAGGGGGAAAAAGCAGATTTCAACACCTAAAATCTTTGAAAATCTCTAGAAATCTTGAGAAATTTTTGGAAATCTCTAGAAATCTTTGAAAATCTCTAGAAATCTTTGGGAATCTTTAGAAATCTATAGAAATCTTTAAGAATTCTTTGGGAACCTAAAATGAGGCATGTTTCAACAACAATACAGCGGTAAATTGTCAGGATTTAATGGAATTCATATTGACTGGCTTTCATATTATTGTACTGGTACCGTTACATCCCTAATATTTTCGTTAAAGAAAGGACCTTTTCAGCAAAGAAGGATTTTTTTATGAAGATTTATCAGAAATTTTTGGATGCGCGCAGTCCGATTATGCTGTTAGCTTTTAGAAAGTTTGAACTTGATTGCTTGGTCAAGTAAACTAATTTCGTTTACGAATGATCAAACTTATTATAAAGCGTAGCTTTTTCAAAAATCTCTTTCTTTAATCGAGACTTCAAGTACACAGCTCTAAGAAACTAATTGTAGATCCAGATTCCTCAATCTTCATTACTTATAATCAAACTTTATAAGAAGTCGTTATTTTCATGAAAAACCCTTTCTATTGCAAAAGAAAATCAAGAACCTAATAAGAACTATATCGTTAATACAAATGCTCATGAATGCCATTGTGGGTTGACAGTAATTGGTATTGAGAGATGCATACTTAAAATCTGTGTAAACCGCTTCTAAAATATTTAATGCCATCGAATATCTTTTAAATAGTATATTCCCGTTACTTAGAGGAGCGCCGTAAGGAAAAACCAAATAAGTTAGCTTTTATGTATGTATGTATATTGTTCTGCTGTCACATGTTTGTTCATATATTCGAAATATCAGATTAACTATATACCATGGCTATGTGTGCTTTGAGCTATAGTGTTGACCAACCATGTTCATTTTCAGTTTTTCCTTCATCAAGTTTCGTTATTTCTACAGTAGATTCGATCATATATTATGTTTGATAGTAGCTATTTGTCCAGTCAGTCTTCAAGCCTTCGAATTCTCTATGACTCCGACATTTTCGACACTAAACTACCAACCAAGCCTTCTCTTTGACCTCAATTTTGCTCAGTAAGCTGTTTTCTATATCTAGATTTTGTCTTACGAGTTTTCTTAGGCAGAATTTTTAACTAGTCACAATTTTTTTTTCTAAAAGACAACTTTGACCCAATCCAAGTTTTCATATTTCGAATAGAGTCAAGTACCAACGTTTATTTGCATTTTGTTCGTGTTCTCTCTTTGCTTCATTGACTTTGATCAAACAATCGCTTGCCTAACTTGATATTTTATAAGCGTTGATGCAGTGTATTATATTTCTAATTAGTTCCATTATAGCATAGGTATTTTCAATTTTCAGTCGAAAATCCGAATGCTATGTTGTTTGTCGAACGACACTTTAGTCGACAGACTTTTCGTCGAAGTAACTTTGTCGAAAAATTTTTCTCGAAATCTTTTTATAGAAAAGCATTTCGTCGAAAAACATTTCGTCAAAAGTGAATTATTTTCTTCTTATTTATCTCACCGTCAGGAGACAAGTTCAAAAGTATCTCCTAATTAATTTTGTCCCTTTGGCGACGGTGGAAGAATTTCAGGGCACTATTGAATAGAATTACGTGCTTTTCGTCGAAAAGCACTTCAAAGCAAGGTTTGCAGACCCCGAGACAATTCTGGATCCTTCAATTCTTCTCCAGAACTGTTCAGAGTTAAGAGAACAATGAATTTTCTCTCACACTCACGTTTGTAGTACCCTTGCCCTCATCCTTACATTCGCAGTGCCTTGCATGGCTCCTGCCCTCACAGTCGTGCTCATTCTCACTCACCCTTGCCTTCACCATCACATTTGGAGTACCCCTACATGGTTCTTACCCTCATCCACACGCTCACCTCACCTATACATTTGAAGTACTCTCCATAGCCAAGAAAATACTTTCGACGAAAAACAGATATCTATCTGAGTTTATTGATAAAGCTCTTTGTCGGCGAAGTGTCGTGTTGACGAAAAACAGATATCTATCTGAGTTTATTGATAAAGCGCTTTGTCGGCGAAGTGTCGTGTCGGCGAAAAATAGATATCTATCTGAGTTTATTGATAAAGCACTTTGTCGGTGAAGTGTCATGTCGACGAAAATTTTTCGACAATCATTTTTCGATCAACAACATGATTACCGAAAATCCTGTTAGTTATAAACTACAAATATTATGGAGAGAAGCGCAATGTTACTTAAACAGATTGCACAAACCAGATGGTAATTTTTTCAGGGAGTAGATTTTATCAAGAAAGCAGCCAGTCATGAATGTCAACTCTAAGAGATGCTTACGAACGAGTGACCATTGATATTAATGGCTAAGTGAATATTTGCTTTAGATAATAGCTGTAAAATATCTAGCATGCTTGTTGAGAATGCTCGACTAATATTCGGTAAACGCTGAATTGAAATACATGGCAGATTTATCAGAAAGACTGTAAAAGTTAAGATAGAAATGATTCTGCATAACAAAATGTTTTCTTTGAAATTTTTCATCGACAATTCTTTTGCTATAAATTGAATGGTTCATTCCAATCAGCTCAATCTAAATCGACTGATTTGTAGACTATAAATGATCTTTTGGGAAAGTAAACTTAGGCAGGTGAGCAATTAGCCGTGAGTAGTGTTTCGAAATGTTGTCGAATGGCTGATCATGAATGTGAAAGTTCCAACAAAGAAATGCTTCACAAGATTCGGTTCTGTAAAAAAGATTGTCTACAGATTGCATGCGATCTAGAAAACTTTAACATCTTATTTTTCCTCACGAACTCTGTGAAACAAATTTAAAAACGCCTTTGACACAAATTATCGCCTCCAGTGGAGACATTTGTGTTATCAGTTAAGGAGATGAGACATATTGGGGTCAATGTGAAGCTCACACTGCCAAACTTATAAATTTGAAATATAAGCTGCTATTGGTGTGCACCGACCACGATATTATAGTTTTAAGGCATTAACAGTGTATGTAGCATGGCGAAAACTCAAAGTTTCGGCAGATTGTTTCATTGTCTTCTGGATGGTTGGACATAGATAGTCGAGGTATATTAGAAATGGGTGTGGGTGTTAGTACTCCTCAACTGATACCCACACCCACACCCACACCCACACCCATACCCATACCCACACCCCACACCCATACCCACACCCACACCCCCACTCTCATCCAGTAGGGTATGTGTTTTTCATATGGAATCACGATTTCCAAGCACCCTCAGCAGAGAAATATGTGCTGTATGTGTTTCCTAATATGTCCGTCTTTCCGAGCAGCCTCAGTGAGATCGATATGCTGTATGGGCCTTACTGAAGATGTCCCTATTTCCGAGCAGT